ACGGGTTATTGACGTCATGGACCCAAATGGTTCCTTGATAAGATGATTTTGCGATGAGAATCGTAATATTTCTCACTTTTGCAACGATGCCAGTGGTTCCAGGTTCTTAAACTGCGTTTCAACAAACGCAGTTTGTGAAACGTACCGAAACGCTGGTGAAAACGGTCCGTCATTAAACGCGTTTAATTTCGGCGTTTAAATAAACTTAGTTTTGTCAAACTGCGTTTCGCTTGTTTCTGATGAAAATGGGCCTTAGGCTAAGCGCAAATTGAGACGCGTACGGCGCGCGCGAATCTGTACAGCACAGCGCGCTTTTCTGTGGTCATTGGAAATCAATGAAACAGCGTAAATTGGGACACGACGCGACAGAGCATGCCGCGTTCCTCTGGACGAGTCGCGCCACAGTTTTTCGTGCGCGTATGGGCTGGCTAGCGGAAATCGACGCAACATAATATTGCCACCTAAGCAATCATGCTATCGCAAACAAATTGCAGATGTTATAATTCAATACTATAGCCTAAATTCAGCATTTAGAAGATTACAGGCCCAACGACTTCTACTCAATGTTTAATATTATTTATTAACTTCATTAAACTGAGTTCTACTCATTCGTAGATAATTGTTGAAAACACTATCCAGAAATTCGAAGATCATTTTAAACTGTAAATTTTTTTTTGACAAAACAAAATTATTCAGTGATTTCTACCTTTTCATCACTAAGGAATAAATCAATATTTCCTCTTCCGCCTCACTATCTAACTCTGAACTTAAATAATCTATATAAATATATTTTCTTTAAATTATTCATATTGATTGCAAATCGAAACCGAAATCCGATCTAACTGAAACTGACACACGCTGCGTCTCAATTTGCGGATCCCGGCGCTACGCGTGAAGCAAATTCGGTTCAAACACTCGTGTCGGGTCACCTCATGTGCGTCGTACGCGTCTCAATTTGCGCCTAGCCTAAAAAGGGACTGTTTCACACATTGTATTCAGATTTATTAGAAGATGATGATACATTTTTTTTCGGTTCTTTAGAGTGTCAAGGAAATCATTCTTTGAATTGAAATCCATACTGCAGATTGAAATTTCCAGGATAAATACAACAATGAGAAGTTAAACTGACAATAACATTGAGGTTGCCTTACCTCACTTCACTCACTTTCACATCATTTATATTTAATTAATTTTAATATGAGAAATACATTCGTATATGACATAAAATACATAAATTAAGAAAGTTTGTATCACAAAAAAAACTTAAAAATCTACGAGGGAATAATCACCCGAGTCTTGGGTGGAAGAGTACATGTGTCTGTTAAATAATTATGTATTATCCTAGGGTATGTCATGGTGGAGGTGATGCTAGTGCAGTTACACGTTGAGTATTTCTAAACTTTCGGAAAACGTTTATTAACTCCGACTTTACGTCTAATTTTAAATCATCCGGAACCTTTTTTAATTCAGTTACTAAAGATAACATGAACAAAGTATCTTCATCTTTTTCAACATCTCCTGCTTTAGTTTTCATTATCTGGTTTGCCAGGGCAACAAACAGTTTGTCTTCTGATTTTTTGGAACTTGAGGAAGTTGTCTTCCTTCTGCGCGCTTTTGCTCGCAGCATTGGACTAACTGGAATTTCATTGCTTTCAATATTTTCTTCGATGATAACTTCGACCATTTCTTCACTCCTCACATCACTCAGTTCCTCTGCAATGCGGCTAGTTGTTGCTTTTTTTGAGGTTTGTAGAAAGCTTAGCTGATTAAAATATATATACTGCTTACGGCCTGAACATCCACTTCCAGACATTTCGCTTTTCAATTTGGCTAACTCCCTCGTGTAACAGTCTCGAAGGCTTTTCCATTTTCTTTGCACCCGCACCGCTAAAAATATGTGTTAATAAGTATTTACTGTGCTGTGAACTGACTTTTTGTTTCAGATATTTTGGGAACCGGTTAGTACAATAAGTACAATTATACGTGAAGTTTGTTATCTAAGCTATCTAAAGAAGATTTGTTAAATGTAGCTCATTTATTTAAAAGGTGTGAACATTTTCCGAACTGCCTTATTATTAAACCAACTGACAGCGGATATTTGAATTATAACTATAAAAACTTTTTTCCCTTCGATTTTATTAACAGTATGTGACTCCAACTATAAATTTTTATACATTGACGTAGGAGCTTATAGAAAGTATTCAGATCCGACAATTTTTAAAAATTCAACACTGTTCAATAAATTAAATAAAAATGAACTTAACTTTGCAGTTAATAGAGAGCTTAGTGGATCAGGCATTATAAATCTTTTTGTATTAGTGGGTGATAAAGGTTTTGGAATTTCAAAATTTTTGATGCGTCCTTTCGGGGGAAACTTTTTAACAGTGAAAAACTTGTGTTCAACTATCGTCTGTCAAGAGCGAGACGATACATTGTATGTTCTTTTGGAATCCTCGCTATAAAGTGGCGAATATTTTATCGGCCATTAACCCAGCAAACCAAACTTGTAACATGTATATTTGGTGTAATTCAAATTTCTACCGAATTCCACTTAGTTCCACGGACAACCCGCGGAGCCACACAAAAGAATCCTCCTATGAAAAAGAGCTAGGAACAGGCAGGCCAGGTCATTTTTCTTGGGTACTTTTTTTTGTGGACTTGACTGACGCAAGTTTTTGTTCATTTGCATTTCGTTTGTGCATTGAGCATTGGCTATTGTTTTAAAACATACTAAACAAGTAGAAATTTAGAGTCTTTCCACGCTTGGAAAATTTCAAGGAAAGTGAACAGATTATACATATACGTTTTTATCTATTTTCTACTGTTTGGCCAGATACCAAAAATTACCATGTTATTTTATAGATTGTGTCGTGTAGAGGGCGACCCCACAAAAAAGGGTACCTAAGACGTACACTTCGGGGGTAGCGGCAGTCGGTAAAAAACGGTGAATGAACTCCCTTCGCGATCGACGATCGAGCGGTGTCACGCGCGGATTTTTAGCCATTTTTTGGGTGTGACCGAAGAAGTTTCGAGGGTACCGTCGCTTAAGCTATTTTCGGTTCGCGGTTGTGCTCAACCAAAGTTTTGGTTCTTTGGCTTTCCTCTGACCCTCACGTTTCGCAACGTGTGCAGGGCATAGAACAAGGCTTATATAAAAACGACTTTTACTCTTGTAGAAAGTGTGTGGCTAAAGTGGCGCGCTCTGGTGGCTGAGAAATAAATAATTTAAAGAAACCCGCATTATGAACCCACTACACTTGCTTATTTTTAATTGTGTCGCAAGGGGCAGCTGATAATAGGGATAAATGACACAACTACACAAAAATACATATAAATATATATATTACTTGTCGTTTATTGTTTATATAAATACTTTTTACAGATAAGAAAAATCTTTGGAGCATTTTCTAACAGCCTTCAAGACACCAATAAACAGCTACCATCTTCGCAGATTATTGACGATTTATAAAAACAGATAAGGAAAAAGATAATCTGAAAATATGAAAATATCATTATTCATTTTGAACAGACGTTTCTGTTTAAATATTAATCTGTAATTCTGCATAATACAGAGGTATTAAGTACCGGTTTCAGTTGTGAGCAACCCGATGTAGCACTAGCTCTAATGAGAAAAATATCCTGTTTTCCATTTATTTGTTTCTTGATGAAAATGCCACCTGAATAATAAGCTAAAGTGATTTCGACTTACCCAACAAAATATTCACAAATTACGTATTGGAGAACATGGG